TTTGAACAGCAGTGCAGATCATGATTTCCTCTGGGCTAACTTTTTCAAGTGTTCGCTTAGCTCTGAATACATCATCATCATCACTCTTCTCCTCCTCTGCTCTCTCGCCCTCAAAAGAAGATGGGATATCTCAGTTCTTCTGCAGAACATCCTGAACAAAACCACTTAACTCAGTAATAAAAAGGAAGCTCCCTCCCTATGCAAATAATTTAGCTCCTTCAGGAATGCGAGTGTGTTTACAATATTCATCACATTCCTCTTATGCTCTGAGCACAGAGAGGGGAAAGAAGAGTCACAATGTTTAAAAGGTGGACGTGAGGACAGAGAAAGAGCAGAAAGGGCAGGAGTGGGGGGGAAACCAGTGAAAGTATGCAGCAGCACTGAGGAAAACATTTTCTCAAGAACCGACTGCATGGTATGTTCGGTTGTTGGCGTGGGCTAAAAGACAGCATGTGCTGACAAAGTGTCATGAATGTTATAGTGGTAAAAGTACACCCCACTGAGCTGTACATGACCACTTTATTTGTGAACTGCTCTGCAAGCAGACCAGCTTAAACCGTTGCAGGGAACTTTCTGTTGAGGGAGATGAGTGCTTTGTCTCGCCTTGGTTTCTTCCTCCACACAGCCCATCTCATAGCCTGCTGCTGAGGGAGTAGGGATGAAAATTACCACTGTCACACCTGGCAAGTTTGTTATGCTATTTTTAATTCTAAGTGGATGTGGCTGAGTCGCGAGGGTTTCATTTGAGTCGGAACGTCACATTGCTTTGGTATCGTGCTGATACAAAGCTGTGGAAAACATGATGGCATTAAAGATGCCACAGGTACTGGAGTACCTATAGATAAAAAGAACCCGTGAAATGACAGTGCATGCGCACCAACAGGTGTGATGAGATCTGAAGTGATATATAGGGATTGATTTGGACAATCAGTGACATGGACAACCAAAAGCTAGAATGTAATGTTTCTGATCATCAAAAACATTAACAATAGTTAAATTAGTTAAATAATTGTTAAATCGTTAACTTTGATTTAGCACATTTTTTTAAAGTTTCGTTTTAGTTTAGCTACACCCAGGCCTGAATACAGTAAGACCTGTTGAATCAGGTCACCTGACGAAGTGAAGTAGGGTAAAAGATCTCCAACAGCATGCCACGATCTAAGGAAACAGCTGAGGAACAAAGTCTGTGACATCTATCAGTCTGATAAGGGTTACAAAGTCGGTTCTACGACTTTGGGACTTCAGTAGACCACTGTGATAGCCATTATCCACAAACAGTGAAAACTTGGAACACTGGTGAAACTTCATAGGAATGGCCAGCCTACCAAAATTACTCCAAGACTGCATCAACAAGTCATCCAGGAAGTTACAAAAGAACCTTGAACACCACCTAAAGAACTCTGGTCCTCACTTGTCTCAGTTAAGGTCACAGTTCAGGATTCAACAATAAGCAACAGACTGGGCAAAACAGGGAGAGTTCCAAGGAGTAAATGCCTGCTGACCAAAAAGACCCCAAAAACGTAAAGACATTTGCCAAAACACATCTTAATAAGGAAGACTTTTGGGAACATATTCAGTGGACTGATAAGACAAAAATGTAACTTTTTGGAAGGTTTGTATTCCTCTGGTACAAAACTAACACATCACTTCATAAAAAGAACATCATACCAACAGTCAGGTGGTAGTGTGACGGCCTGGGGCTGCTTTCCTGCATCAGGAACAGGATGACTAGCCGTAATTGATGGAATCATGAATTCTGTCCTCCAGAGAATCCTGAAGGAGAATGTCATCAGTTTGTTCCCTCAAGGTTGGGTTATGCAAGTCTACCTCTGAATGGCTCAAAAAAAGAGAGAGATGCTTTTGGAGTGGGCTAGTGAAAGTACGGAACTAAATCAGAATGAGATGCTTTGGCATGACCTTAAAAAGGCCGCTAATGCTCAAAAACCCTCCAGTGTGGATGAATTAAAACAAGTCTTCAAAGAGAAGTGGACCAAAAGTCTTCGGCAGTGATGTCAAGGACTTATTGGCAGTTATTACCATTGCTTGACTGCAGTTCTTGCTGCCAAGGGTGGCACAACCACTTATTAGGTTTAGGGGGGATTTTTTTTTCCACAAAGTTCCAGTTAGGGTTAGATAACCTATTTCCCTTAATAAATGAAATAATCATTTATAAACTGCATTTTGTATTTACTGTGAAATATGCAAAAAGCTAAGAAATCAGCAAGGAGTCAAATACTTTTTCACAGTACTGTAATTGAGCTCCAAAGTGGTGTATGACTGTGCACGACATAGGCAAAAAAAGCCCTCCATGAATGGGTGAATGAGTGGTTAGTAAGACTGGAAAACCAGTTTGATGTCCATCTGTTTTAGAAAACAGTATTTGCAAAGGCTGGTGTCACGTGGTTTAGGCTGAAGTGGTCCTAGCTCACTGTTGTGTTTATGTGTATAAGCAGAGGAGGTTTATTGGTACTGGGACCAAATGCCATATATGACCTCCATAGTACAAACAACAGCAAATCAGGTCAAGATGGTGGTGTAACGGCAGGAATGCTGCTGAGAAGATAGTTTAGGACAAGGCTGTGGAATCCCAGGGCAGGGGTGGCAACTGTAAAACCCTGTGGTGATAAGATCAGAAATCCACCTTAGCATGACGTCCCTTCATCACGGGATAATCCTCGGACATAAAAAGACGAGCCTATCGCCAATCTGAAGGAAATCTCTAATGCCAAACTGACACACCCTTCAAACATTTACCCACACTCCCCTGAAACCTATTTGTACTTCTGTTAAGGGAGAGGAGCAAAGTACTCATGCATCCCACACCTATTTTATGACCAGTAAGTTTACAAAGTCCACTCGGAAACAAAAAATGTTGTGCAAACAATATCTGACAGTATGCCTTTCAAAAGTGAAAGTAAGCCTAGCAAATACGGCATTTAAATTATGAATCAGATGACATACTATATTTATTATGGTCAGAAAAAACAAGATTAACTAGCGGTAGTACACTGACATGAACCTTTTGCGATGAATATACACATGTCAAGTATCGGTTTAGGGGTGAATTTGTGGCAGATAGAGGAGAAATGGGATTGCCTGTTGCTTACAAAGATTATGGTTTCATTTTTTAAAATGAAAACGGCAGAAGTCAGTAATCCAGAGCAAAGGAAACATAAAACCCCCACAGTGGATTAGTTTAAATTCATTTGACCACAAAAATATTGCCAAACCGGTGTATATGTAGGAGACGACATGGTTTTGAGATATGAGCAAAAATTGTGCAGCACTACGAAGTTACAGGATGAACTTTAGCACAACCAAAAACACGTAGGAGCTTTACAGCCAAGTGCTCACTGCCCAGTGATTCACTAGCTCTAGTTCTCAACTGGTCAGAGGTTATTTACCAGATCCAAAAATACACACAGTGGATTATATGGCAAAGTTTCATTTTGAAACCTAACTGCATATTTCCCATAAAAGTCAGGCAGGGGTGAAAGCGGGCTCATGGAAATGCTTGCTTTGCTTGTTGTTTTCCCCGCTTTCCTATTACAGCGTATGAGCTTGCATTCGGCTTTCGGGATTGTTTTGCAGAATCCTGAAACACTAGCATGACCTGAATGAGAAATGTCTTCCTATTCAGTTGTCCTGAAAAGAGCATCTATGATGAAGAAGCGTGGTACGCTTGTCTTCTTCACCCTTGCGGGGAGCAGGAGAAAACATTTATCACCGCTCTCCTCTGCGCAGATAAGGTGTCTCTATTTATTCAGAGCAGAGGAGATAAACACTGAATGAAGCAGTGTGGGACAGAGTGAGAGAAAGAAAGAAGAGAGAGAGATGGTGGCATAAAAGGGGGGGAAAGGACAAGGAAGCAGCTTGGTTCTCAATTGCCTGTGTGTGTGTCCATGTGAGCAGATGGCATTTATCCCTGTGCAGCCAGAGTATTGGGAGGCTGACCCCTGCTCTACAGTAACATCCCTCCAAGCCACCACTACTTACTACCACCTACAGCCACCTTTCTTGCTTTCATGTTTCCCCTCACACTACTAATCCATTCCCACTATGAGACTGCTTGTATAATGTTATTTAATGAGAATAATCCCCAGGGCGATGGAGCATCCTACATACAGTAGACCTCTCCACAAAGAGGGGTCAGAGGATGGCAAGGGCTGTTAATAAAAGCACTATTTAGAAAGGCAACAAGGCAGTACAGTGGTCTGTTGAGGTCTGCGCCAGGGACGGAGAGATACAGACTGACAGAACTACACAGGAGATTCAACAGGGACATGAATAGTGCTTCTGTCCTTCTTGTTTTCCACAAGAGAGACAAGACAGAAAGCAAAAAAAAGAAAAGAAAGACAAACAGAAGGCGTAGTTCACTACCACTTCTGTCCTCTCTCATGCTGATATACAGCCTAGTGTCCAGAGGTGAGGGACACAGTTCGCATGGCCATTTCTCTCTGAAGCTGCCTGTGGGGACAGACGGCTTCCCCGGGCGTCTCGTAGCGCTGCTGAGGTGAAATGCATGGTTGCGAGACAAGAATGTCTCCCAGAGGTTTGTCTTCTAGAACAATCAGCTGTTGAGTTTGAGAAAAGTAGAGCAAGTTGGCACCCAGACAGCCATAACAACAACTATGCAACTACGGGCTGTAATGAGATTTTGAAAAGCCCTGTAAAAAGACGGCGTCAAGGACACTGTTTTAGAATGTTAGGAAAACCAAACAGCACCGTTTAACTCTCTTTGTAGTACATTTTTAAGCCACAAACGTTATAATAACTAAAACAATAACAAGCAAAGAACAGCGGCGTTACATCAGCGTAACAGCGTTCCTGGCACAAGGTTTACGCTCCCCTGCTCCGTCAATCGGGCGCATAATAAGATATCCAAACTTGGTTCCATACGCACCGGGGTCTGAAATTGACTCTGCGTTTATGAACTATGAAGCAAACAGTCCCAACCCCGCTTTAACGGGGATACACCAGCACCCCCCCCTGGAACTCACCTTGAAAGGGGGAAAAGAGAGAGCGAAGACAGTGGCACAAACGCGAATACTCCAAATCCTGAAGAATCTACCCCCTCCTTCCTGGTTGAACGATACAAAAAAGGAGAAAGACGTCCGTAAGCAAGTTTACATTTTACTCGCCTCTGTGAGGGGGGCTGGGCTTCAGAAAGGCACTATTCCGTAGTATAAAAAAGAAAAACAAAACCCGGACTGCTTGGTTACACGAAATGTCAATTCCCGCTGAAAGACGACGCGAACAACTCCTTCAACAAAAGAGTGTCTTTGCTTAGAATTTCGGGACTTTCTCCACGCCCAGGTGCCGAGTCACATGGTAGGTTAGTTTCCAGGTGTGCGTGTCTCGTAGCTGCAGATCAGTTGGCAAGCGACACACCTGTGGGATGCGCTCGTGCGCTCGCTCTGACAGTCATCTCGTCCGGAAACGCGGAGGTTGTACATAGGGATGGGGAAGTAAAAAAAAAAATACAGAAAAAAAGCAATGGGATGAAACGGGGAGAGAGAGGAAGAGAAAGAGAGAGAAGTGCGCACTGAACGGAGAACAGACGTCGCTCGGATCGCAAAAGGAAGTAGTCTGACCCCCCCCTCTCTCTCTCCTTCGCCTCCTCCTCCTCCACTCAGCCGGCGAAGCTACTGTACGAGGAGACAACAGCCGGGAAGTAGCGGGGAGGGAAAACGGAGCAACTTGTATCGTCTGTTCTCTGACGCACCGAAATATTTCCGCGCGATGGTAGCGGTGTGGTAAGCCCCCCCTGCCGCCGTACTGTGGTTCCCAAATTGTGGTCCGGACTCCTCAGTCTGCGGGGGCGGTTCCAGGTCAATCCAGGCAGTGCTCGCAAAGAATTGTTAGGAATGTGTGGAAAACAGCCGATTAGGTTTCGGTTTCAACTGATCCCATTCTCACCCGGGTGTATGGTACACTACACAGGCACACGCACAGTTCTGTCTAGTTAGAGCTCGCCACGTTAAATCGCCTTTATTGGGACAGAATCTGTCAGCAGTTTTCCCGCCACATCACAAGTGAGGAAATTAGTTCCCCAAAAGCAACAGACAACTAACCACGTGGAAGCCACAGATGACTTAGATTTTATTTTTGTTTAAGCAGTTATATGCTGCTGATCTTTGCCACCAAAATAACATAATAAAGGCTTCCCCATCAGCATGCATGATAGGAAATGGTGGTTACAAGAAAACAACGCAATGTCTTGGTTATTTATTTATTAACTGTGGCGTCTCAGTAAACCATGACGGTGTGGCACTGAGCCGTTATAGATCCATAAAAGGACCCAGCAGCCGAGGCGGCTTAATGGAATATAGTTCTCACTCACACTGTTTCATTAGCTTTCTTCCACTCCCGTCACAATACTATGTGGGCGTGGGGTGCATTTATGAAATACTGAGGTCAGGAATCCAAAATTCTTCCTGGAGCAACCCAACTCTTGAACCATAACATTTGTATTTTATTTATTCTTGGGTCTCAAAATAGATTCTCTAGACTCTATTAACTCAATTACAATTACAGCAGCTTTTGTTGAAGCATAGCCTAATATGTGTTTAACTGCAGGGCATGCACTCCTCAGGTTTGCACTCCACCTTCCCTCAAGCAGTTTGCAGGGTCTTTCAGCACCTTTAAATCAGTGCGCATTTAAAAGTACATCATTTCCATTCGTCCAGGATAATCAACAGGCATCGCTGTGGAAAGCTTCCACCACATATTGCATTGGAAAGGGTTTTCACTAGTTCTCGGGAAGAACTGTTGACAAGGAGGCCTGTCATGTCTCCAGAGAAAGACACATTGCTGTTGAGCTGGCATTTGTTGATCCTGTGAGATTCCCCCAGCAAGTTTTCCCTGACATTGTCTGTCATGATTGGCAGCAGAAGCCTTCCTTTAAAGCGACCTGACAGTCACTGTAAATTAGCTGTCAGAATGCCGTAAACAATAGGTGCTTTACTGGTATATTTAAAGTGGATGAATTATGAATTATGTTAATTGCTCCTTTAACCCCGATAAACAACAAAACAGAGACATAAATAATCCACCAGCACTCCATACAAATGAATGCAGATTAATGTAGGGAGGCAATCCGGGGACTCTGTTTGGTTTAAAAATATTTCCAAAAGCAACCACTCGTCGTTTATTTATAATTCACCAAGCCCCCGTTTTGACTGTGAATTTACAAGAGCTGTATTAGTAGTCATTATACCACAAATTAGTGGTGTGATCGCTGTACCTCGACTGTGAATCGTTAATCACGAGAAGCATCGTCTTTGCAGCTCTTAAATCCAGATAGTGAAACAATCTCTCATTGGCCCGTGATTCTGTGCAACCTTTAAATCAGCAATATGTTTTCATCACTTAAAACAAAATACGAGTCAGAGTTTCTGCAGATTCTTCAGACATGCAAGCAGCAAGGAACTGAAAGTAGCATTGATTTCAGATATGGGCCATATGTGTTTTTAAGTGCTCTTTGAGCTTGATTGGCTCTTTTTCACTCAAGAGGTTATACCCAGTGTTTTTTTTGTTTTTTTTTGCCTTGGAGCCTAATATCACATAACATTGCAATTTGGCGCACTGAGTTTTGTGACACTGTGTCATGCCTTGTTGTGTGGCTGCGTGTCAGCTCCGAGAGTGATTTATGGGCATGCAAATGAGACTGTCTGTTGAACGAGGAGATGTGCTGCCTTCGCCCCAGAGCAAAAGAGTGGAGACAGCGTGGGGGTGTGAGTCAGTCCCTAAGTGCTGACACAGGCACAGAGCTGGCGAAGATGGGGGAGATGGCCTTCACAGGTCCTCACACTGACTGATGAGATCAAGAAGAAAGTAGGCCAAGCCAGACAAGTGTCAAGGAAACAGACACCCAGAGATGGAGTGAGAGAGACAAACACCTTCCAATCACACATCGGACTGGGAGAGTGGAAAGTGGCGGGGGTAGAGCTGGCTTGTTTGGGGTCTGAGTTCAATATGTCCAAATCTGTTTGTCTAAAGAGTAATGAGGCTGCTGAGAGTCGTGGAACATGCTGGCCCAGGGGATCTCTGTAGAGTCCAAGTCAAGGCTTTCTAAATTCACCGAAGTGGAATAGAAGTTCACTTTGTTTTGCTAAGATAGCCTGACTGTGATGACATTTTGATCAATGCGCCCATACCTTCCTGCAGCTCGCCTTTATGTTGCTTGAATAGTGATGATATGTTATCACGCTGGTGTCAAACACCGCCATTTGTCACGCGGTGTCCCTCAGCTGGTCTTGGCAGTAAAACGTTTGACTATCAACATATTATACAATGTAATTTATGGTACAGCGTTTCGGCTGTCCATAGTGATATAGTGGTCATATTACATTCAAGGTTCAGAGTTCAAAGTCTGTTTGTCATGGGGACAGACTGCCCTCTGTTGGCTGCGGCTTATATTGTTTTTAATCAGTAATTTATAACCTGAAAATAGCAGGAGCATAACCTAAGTCAACCTATTGGGCAATGCTTTATATTGCACCATACAGTAGTTGCATGCTTATTTAAGAGGGTTTCTTTGCAGATATGGTCCAGGTGGCCTAATTCTGAAAACGGATGGGGTGGGGGGTTTGGTTAGTGCTTGTGAATTTGTTTGATTGTTTTAGCCATGGCAGTACTGTGAATTACACATCTTGCACTTGTCTTTGTGTACAAATCATACATGAAGACAAAAAAGAATCCGGTAAAACTCACAAATAGTTCATTATTACTAGTGTTGTCTCTGTTGTAGCTTTGTTCGTTTGACGTTTTTCCTACAATGGCATCATTTAGTTCATATATGCATATGCATGTCTCTTACCCACAGTAGTAATATAGGTGTGATATAATGAATGTAATGAATCCACATTGCACAGAAGGCACTGTGTCTTGTTTTTGGATTGTTTATTGTGTTTAAGGTAAACTGACTGCAGTGTGACTTATCACGCCGTTTCCTCCCATACAGATGGCATATGGAGTTCATATGGCTATATTCCTCACTAGAAACCACGAGAGTCCCACAGATGAAACTGTGTAAGTCTTTCACAGTTGGTAAATAACACAAAACAGTTGATCTTGGCTTTCACACAAAAATCCATGCAACCAATCATTTGTAATAGTGTCCTGGCCTTTTTTTTTGTAATGGCGCGTGAGCATCAGTGTGCGTGCATCGCAATCATCTCTTCAGTAAAGAATAAGGATGTTAAAACATCCTGTACGTTCACATAATTGTGCCCCGGTGCTCTCGCTGTGTAGGTGTATTGTCACTATCTTTCAGTTTTGCTATTCCCTTTATCACCAGGTGAAGGTTGGCAGACATACTGTTGTAGCAAGCGTAAAGACGCTTGCTAGCGTAAAGACGGAGAGACAACAGATGGAGCAGTTCACAGACACAGGATCTTGTCATGGTGGTGATTGATAAAGGTGTGAAGAGAGACTCGACTGGGAGACAGGGGAAGGGTTATTTAAAGCATAGGCTGCACTTTGATATGAATGGCTTCCTGACTTAGCAAAGTGCATCTCCAGCTGTCAGCGTGACTTACAAGTAATTAAAAAAGGGGCGAGCGTGCGAGTAAACCGAGCTGTGGCTACTGTTTGCAGGGCTCACATCCTTTGCAAAAAGCATGTGCGACAGGGAGACATCAGGTTTGGTATAAAAGGGATAGACAGGCTTATGGTGCTGTTCTGACTCAGTCTGGGAATAACCACAAGCTGGGAATAGCAGGGTGGCAGCAGTGTGTGGGTTGGTGTGAACAGTCTGCAAGCATGTGTGTGTGTGTGTTTTTATTTTGCATGTGTGTGTGTCAGAGAGACAGAAAAACACAATATTTAAAGGAGGCTGATGTGGTTGAATATATAGATATGTACAGTTAATGTGTATCATGTAAACTTACTGATCTACGGAAGTGAAACTGCAATGCTGAAGGTGTCTTTGCAGAACCTAAAAGGCATAGTAAGAAACATTTGTCTTGTGTTATCAGATGCCCCTTCAGACCAGCCGAACTGTCATTTTACCCAAGAAAAATGTCATTGTTTTCCTTCTCCTTCTGCTCATATCGCAATCTAATCACAGCTCGCTCAGCTCATCCTGTATGGTCCAGGTGGCCTCACTCTGAGAGCTAATAGAGGGAGTTTTAGCATTAATAAATGTCCTTAACCAGGCTGATGTGACACAGACCAGATTACACAATGGCCTCTTTACGTCCAGCCGTACTCTTGTAAGTAAACAAATGCATAAATCCACCGGTTGCACTTATATGTGTGTCCTGCCTGTTTCCTGTTGAGACTCTGATCAGAGAATCCAAGAGCTGCCTTGTCCTTGACAGCGTCTGGAAATGTGGGAATAAAAAGAGTAAGCTGCACTTTGTGAAAAAAGCTGGATAAGCCCGCTTGGTGCATACACAGAGTGGATTTGACTGGAAATCTTTCATTTTCTCAAACCAAAACAGCGTTTCTTAAAATACTACAAGCTGCTCTACATGGTGCAAGACAGATTAGATCATGACTTGAATGTGACAGCGATTTTTTTCCTCCTCTTTTATGAGCCTTGTGATTGGTGGTTCAGGAGGAAAATAGCTCTCAGCTTGTTGAAGGCTATGGGCTTTCCACTGAGCCCCTTTTGGATGCCATGTTTTTTTATGTGGGCTGCCCAGCAGCCTGTGCTGAACGGTGGAAACAGCTAAGCCATCTGGTACACTC